TTCTTTCCGTCTCATACCTTGCTGCATATGTCGTACCCGGTGGCAGAGCTGTTACGACTGCGTATTGTAGTCGAACAAAAAGGGTGGACCATGGGTAGCCTGCAACTTGCAAAGTTGCAGCCAGCTGATTAACAAAAAAATAATGGCGGCATGGCCGTACGTGCGACGTACAACCAGAAGTAGTACTGGCCTTTGCTCCTTGATTAAACACACTTATTTCCGTGTTCAATGTCAGTCTTAAAAAGCCAACCTCTCCCCCAAGAAAAAACCCGCATGGCTGCATTAACTCTGGAACTTGGGAGAGGGCTTTATACTTGATTAATCTGTTCCGTAATCAGATGCAAGTCAATGAACTGACAAAGAATACCACAGAGAGCATTCCAGGGGCTTCATTTGCAGTGTTGTCTATGTACTCTACACAGCCTGGCCTCTACGTGGCACACTTGATTTTCTCCTCTAATGCCTTCAAAGCTGAAGCAATATTTTTACTTCAAATATTAAAAACAACTTTGATTCTACTCACCTAGTTCAAAGTTCCATTTTTACATTAACCCTAACAGTCCTAAATCCTTCACCTGTTGGAGGACTGTTAGGGTTAATGGCTCCAATTTTTTTCTCCTGATGGGCAAAATGAACTCTTTTACATGCGACCCCCCCCAAAAAAAAATCTAACAAACCTGTGGTCAAGTCTGTAAGTGGAGATATAAATAATTATTAGTATTTCTTTGGAGGGCTAATTAACTTTTGAGAACTTTTTAATATTTATGTGAAATTTTGGAAGTGTCCTCATATGCCACGTTAGGGAATGCTTGTATCAGCTGAATTCGTGTCCAATCTCCGGACTCCGCCGGTATCGAATTTTGGACGAAATTTCATGACACTAAAATTGTTCATACACAAGGCTTTGCTACGAGTAATAAGTCACTGATAAAATCAAGGTCTCTAACGCTGTCTGGTTCCCAGACTAAACAGATCCCGACTGTGTTTGGCATTGGTCAACTATGGGGAGTTAATGGCGAAAGGAATGGCCCAAATCGAAACCAAAATTTCACGGACTTCTTCAAACTGGAAATCGTCCAAAGAAATACATCGGTGGTTTGATGGGATGAATGATCCATACACGCAAAAGGGATTTCATAGATGGCGTTTTCGCCGGAGTCTCCACTATTTAGATTGACTGTTTGTGGAGCCAAGGATACGCAGGGGGTCCAGTAGACACGCCCCCAGTCTGGGGATAGCTTGAATCGAGCACTTGGTTTGTTTGGTTACTTCCCTTGCCTGCGGTTAGTGTTGAATGTGAGTGACCACTCGGCTTAAATTAAGTTCTGTGAAAGGTTAAGGTAGGAATGTATCTGATGTTTCGTGCTTTCAGTGATTTTTTTTTTCAATTTTAATCGATTATGACGTATTTCCGCTCCAGGCAGTTCCGGTACTTCGCGCTTGGAGGAAGCCGCAATATCGGAGTCCTAGCTTCGGACATCGAATATAAGCGCCTTCTTCTTGTCCTCTTCCTGTTTGGCAAAGGTAGTTGTCTCGAGCAAGGTCTTTAATTGCTACATTTTTAGTGAGCTTTTTGAGGAAGTGTCAACTAAGTTTGAGCTGATGGATGGGGCCCTTAATGAGGTTGCCATGGTGTATCTGCGGCCGGTCTTCCATTGCGACTCGCATCCGAGTCCGTCAGGCTCTATGCATGTAGGCCTATACAGGCGACAGTGACCGTCCTCCAGCCCCCGGTCCTTACCAGTAGCCGGTACTGATTGAGGTGGCCTCATTTCTTGCGGAGGTTTCTTCCAGGACTAGTGAGACATCACTTCGAGACTGGTGACACGATTTATAGTGCACTGGACGGGGCTCTCCTCCATCCTGCAGGGAGCCTTAACTTCTGCCTTGCCTCACCTTGGGTGCAGCTGGGCCGAAAGGGGCTTGATTGTGTTGAGGTGATAAGTGCACGTCCAGTGAGGAAAAAATGCAAGGTCCTTTCTCCATGGTTGTCGTTAGGGCTCGGTCTGAAGCAGCTGGTATGCCAATATAAGACATGAGAGAGTTCAGCCATCGCGTTAATCCTGCCCCAGGCGGACACAAAATTTTACTGGGCACGAACCAGGGCCTGGATGATCAAACAGAATTGTATTCTGCGACCCAGTCGTAGCTACAAATTCGTCCAAGCATGTTGTACCCAGCAACGTTTTCAACATGGTGGCAGCAGTGGCGTAGCCGGGCTGGGGGGACGTGCGCCCACAAATTCCCTGCCCCCCCTGCAAAAAACGGAGGCCAACAAAAGCTTGCCCCCAAAACCACACCACTGAAAGCTGGTGCCCCTCCATTTGCTGGTGCCCCTTTGTACCCCCTCACCTAGTAAAATCATAGCTACGTCACTGGTTGGCGGGTGGAAAAGGTGCATGCAATCATCGAGTTTTACTTGGAGGTCTAATAGCAGAGAATGGAATGAGGATCTCCAACTGATCTCTCTGGAAGGTCAAGAAGTAGAAACATGAGGCGCCATTTCTACGTGATAGACCTGCCGTCTGATCATCCTCAACTTGAAGGGTGTTTCACGACGCTAGGACGACAGTTAATGTCATCAGCACATGCAAAATGTTTAGAGCTTGAACACGACATGTCCTTAAGGAACGTTAGGAAGGCTGTGGCTCTGCTGAACTTTCTGCTCATCGATCCTGAAAGAAAGTTGGAGAAGATTTCGTTACAACTAGCACGATCTGCCTGTCTTGGAAGATACAGCAGTCGATGGTGCCAGCCTAATGCCGAGCAGAGATCAAAGAAGAGTGCATAGCACTTGTTCGTCTATTCGAAGGCCCATTTAAACAAGGCCTTGGGGATCCGGATACTTTGACCTACGGCGCTTCCCCAAACCACAGCCTGCTCATTGGGGAGAGAAAATTCGAAAATTTCGAACATATGTATAAGTCGCTCGGTTATTTTGGCCCTTTTCTAGAGGATGGAAACTTTACTTGGTTATGACTAAGCATGGGACATAACGATAAGGCTGCATTCTCACTTAAATTCGGCGATCCCATGCAGTTAGAAGCCATATTCGCGGTGGCATCATGCTCCTGTGCAGGTGATACGCGCGCGTATACTTGTGTCTTCGGGCTCACTGATTTGCCAAATGCGCGCTTGCACGAGTGTAATTCAGTAATGTTGTGGTCTCTCACTGGGGTTTGTCTACTGGCTATGAAAACCCGCTTCGCGCACCCACTACTGTTCCTGACTGACCCCGCACGTGCAGGATTTTGGGCCAGCGCAGTTGGAACACCCAACTGGCTCACTGTCCCAAAATTCGAACGTTATTTTTGTGAGGTTAGTTTTAACCACGTTTCATGGTTCAAAGGAACCCTTCGCGACGAGTGGAGAAAGAGGTCCACCAGTGTGATCTGCCCTAGTTACCAGGGGGCCATGCGGGGATAGGGTCTACTTCGACACGCTGAGCATATGCCTGTTTCTAGAATGACCTCGCTCTTCTAAATTACCGAACTGCAAAATGGGAAGCCCCTCAAAGTTTCCCTTGTGGAGGCCTGTTGCCCGTTTAACGAAACTGGTTATCACAAGAGCCTGTTAATCAAACTTTGACAGCTGATCATTTCTTATAGATGGTATTGACTGAAAAAAATCCTGCCTTTTTACTGGAAGCTGACAGTGACACCCCTTAAATATCAATGATATTTCACTCGAAAAAAATCACCACGGCAGTTACAAGTGATTTTCCTATAAAAATTTTGCAGAAGGTCCCCGGGAATACACCGAGCGATCAATGAAACATGACCTGGAAATTCTTTTCATTCATTTTTAACACAAAAGGATAGGCCTACCAACAGAGTCATTGTACACACACAACGAGATCCCTTGCCGCACAGGTGCAAATGCGTCGATGATCAATCTTTAATACCGGAATTGCGTTGTAAGCTTTGGACTCGTCAACGAAATGCGATTTACGTGCGACCTAGGCGCGCATAGTGTAACGTATAGGGCACATTATGCACTTGACTCCTGGTGCATAATTTCGCGGATCCATTGTTGCAACGTGCATGTCTTTGCACACATCAAGCGTAAATAAACAGTTGCTCTTGTTGCGCCCACGTTCAAAACCAACCTGGTGTTCTTTTGCAAGAAAGCTGCTCAAGTTGTTCACCTTTGTGGGCCCAGCGCGATCTGCAGTTTTATTGAATTTTTGCGGTTGTGGAGCAGGGCCTTGAATTGGTTACGAGTGGCAGTTGTTTGCCGTTGAGTCTGCATATCAGCTTGGGATTTTCCATTGAGCAGAAGTTACTGCGAACGAAACAAGCATGTCGGGTATAAAGGAGATACCGTGAGTATGTCTTGAGTCTCCATGACGACCTATACAACAGCTAGGCGAGATTGAATCGTCAGTACATTGTGATTTATATAATGAGTTTGAGGCAGATGCCTAGTGACAAAAAGTAAACACAAGACACCTACAGATCTAGGATAGAGCGTAGCGCTGAAATCTTTATGAGATTATTCATCTTTTTAAATTTCCCAGACACCTCAAAAAGGTTGCTATATTAACCATTAATATCTCTATGTGGTTGTCATCCCTTCCCCGGCCGTTATACAACGGGACAATATGCAGTGCGTTTTTGGAGGACAGGTCATCCCTTTTTCCCCTAGGATGTGATCTTTTCAATTTGACAATAGCAACTGCATGGTATGATGAGCGCCATCTGGGGCTTCGTGCGCGTATTATGAAAGGGGTCATTTGCAGATACGCAGATCATCGTAATCAATTTAGATGAACGTCTCTCGTATCCAACATGAGAAATCACAGAACTCGGAAAGATTTGTTGGTTTACATGTCCCAGTTTTCCCTGAAGAACCAGCCATCTGTTTGTGAGAGTTAAATGGCACTAAGTTGAGAGGTCCTCCAAAGACAAACTCATGAACACTCCCTATGCAGTCGTGTCTTATACATGTACATGCAGGTTTATGAAGCTAGTAGGCCTCCTGCCAAGATGACGAAGGCAATGTTGTTATTCACCGACTCTTTTTCTGTCTCGTCGTGTTGATCTAAATTCACAGCTCAGTGAACGCGTGTCAGTAAGTTCAAAGGGGAGTGGGGAATGGAATGCGAACCTGAGTGACTATATCTTTTCGTAGTCTGTGGGCTTGGGCTAAACTTGGCGATGTGAAAACTGTCCTTGTTAATGTGGAAAAGGGTAGTCTACCCATTCCCAATTGGCCACTCTGAAGTAATGTCGATTTACCATTCGGAAATACAGAATTCCTCATTTCCTCTTTGTTTATTTAAGGACATTCAAAGTGTTTTGAATGTTTGTCTGGAACTAACATGCCAAAAATAGCTTAAATGAATTCCAGTTACTTGAATACACTTTTTTTTTCATTATACGTGTATTTCAAAGTTAAAGCTGCTCTGGATCTAATGCAAAACAGCTAGCAAGCTCAAAGCGTCTGATTTCATTCCTCTGAATGATGCAGCTTAATTGGTGACGTCAACGCTCAACAAATGACCCGTTTTGATATGATATTTGGTATTTATATTGACCTAGTTTGTGCTTGACCGTGCAAGCTGAAACCTTAACGTACTGACCTGTTGTCTATGATGATATTGTGTCACAGCGGGTCGGAAGTTTGTACCGTTCATAAGGTCGAAGTATAAACACTCGACACAGAGTGCTTCAAGCTAGTTGAGTGCACTCGACTAACACTTGTCTTAAAACAGCCTCATGATTCTAACATTCCTGCGCCCGTGTTTGCCACGCCCACCTCCAAAACATGAAAACCGAAGCATGGACATCTTAAGGGATAGTAAGGGGTGCTCCCCCCCCCGAAAAAGTTTGAACCAGTTGAGACGGGAAAGGAAGAAATGAAAATAAAAAGATGGAAGGGGATCTAAATCACTGATTTGCTGCTGATGATTTACTGATGATGAGTTACAGCAACCCAAAGGAAAACATGTTTTCTCTGATTTTATCTGTTCAAATAAAAATGGAAGCATCCAAATCGAACGCAGTGTCATTTGTCTTCAGAGCTCAACTATAACAAGCTAAAAAGGTTTTTTCTGTTCATGCCAAGATGCGAGTTCTGAATGTAGATTGCGTCATTCTGAGAAAACAGAGAAACCGAGGGGAACCTTCGCCCTGTGTTCGTAGTGGATAGACCATTGGGCATGTCAAACAGTGCATGTAGCCATTGTTTGTAGCCACTGCTTGGCATGCTTGGATGCTTCCATATTTACTTGAATAGATAAAATCAGAGAAAACATGTTTTCCTTTGAGTAACTCTTTAACTACATATGTTCCCAATTAATGTTCCTCCAACACTCTACTACGCATCAACGAGGCTGTGTAGTGCGGTAAGCGCTGCAGTGATATGATTCGAAGTTGCGGCTTCACGGTAAACCACTGGACCTACACGGTTGCTGGTGAGGGCTGGTTGATCTGCCTCCATAAACGTGTACGTGGTGTAGCCTTGCCTGTACTTGTGAGAGCAAGTGCTGTGGGACGCATCACGCATGCGCCAAAAATTCACCTAAATGTGCACAAAATGCAGCTTCCTTGCGTTTGCACTCCAAGCACGGCGATATTACATCCTAACCTACCCTGTCCCTTGCCCAACTTCTGTGCCAACTTGAGGCATGCCCCACCGTGTTGACTGAGTTGGGTATGCCCGAAGTTCGCACTGGACAGATTGTGGTCAGTGTACCGTATTGGGACTGTGTCCGCGACAAGAAAGCTCAAAGCATCCTCCATCCTCTACTCCATCGTACCCGGAGGACGTGTCCAATGAGTTCCCACAACAGTCAAGAAACGAACTTGACCACCGTGAGTATGAATATTCGTGTGTGTATTTATTTTGACGCAGGCCTTGGTATTTTGGCAAGGTGACAAAGGGCGTGGCTCACGAGAGACTATCCGGTACAATGTCTGGGACCTTTCTAGTGAGAGACAACGAGACATCGAGAGGGAGCTACGTCGTCTCTGTGAAGTAAGCAAATAAGCAGGGGTCTGACCATAGCAGTTTGTAGGGAGAGTTGCTACATGAGCGTCTCAATCTTTGGAACCAAAACAATGGATTATGTGTCCCTGCACATGGACAGTTTGCAAGCTGCAAGCTGTACTGAGCACACAATGAACAGCCATTTTGGTTCCGAAGTCTGACGTAGACATTACTCCCACATGCAGCTTTTGGCGTAACAAGAGCCCTTTTTCGGAGGGGTGGGAATGGGCAGCTGATATGCCTTTCCGCTCAGTCACATAACCTGATGCCTTATCGCAGTTACTAGCGCAGATGGTGTTGTTGCAATAATTTGGGAAACCGATGCTGGAATTCGTTATCCATTTCCAGATTGGTAGCAGTGCAGTTCCTATGAAACAACCAGTGGATTCAATATCTTAATTGAACCAAATTTTAAGCACGGAGTGGCGCTGCGGTAATGGGGAGAACACTGAAAGTATCCGAGACATTTAGGATCCCCATTTAAGGTAATTCACTTCCACAAAGAAGCCCAGAGCATTCCAGGCAATTGGATATCACCGAGGGCACCAAGGTAATTCGAAGATGAGCCAATTAACACGCTACTCCGCCAACAAACAGACTTATCTCATAAACAGGCGGCATGTGGAACATTCACTTTGGTTGGTACCCTTTATTCACTATCGAAGGCCTTTGTGAACCTTCGTTTTGCATTGTTTTTCAGTGAAAATGGTATGGTGGTCGACTACGACATCCGAAAGACGGGTCGGACACTTAAGATCAACGACCGCGACTTTGCCGACCTTGCCGCCCTCATCGGCTACTTCCAGAAATACCCCTTGGACACCATCACACTAGACATACCGGTGAGTATTTCATGCAGCAAGCATGATCCTGGGCGTTGGAGTCAAATGAAAAAGCAGTGAGCCAGTTCGGTATTCCAACAGCGCATGCCCAGTGCGAGGCTACTCGTGAACAGGTTTGCGCTCGCGCGATAGCCTGTCCTGTCAGCGTAGCCATATACGCCGACTCGCGGGCGGCTTTGTTCCCAAACGACCCCAGCTTTCCGAAATGCGGGTATCAAACTGGCTCATTACAACAACAACGAAAAAGGACGACATCCTCTGAGGGTCATTATTTGTACATCAGTACCAATGCCCCAGGGCCTGGTTCGAAACGGTCGACTAGATGGTCCAAACCATCCGTCGTTCGGGAGCTGTTGGTCGACGTGTAGTTAACTATTTTTCGCTCGAATCTGCCCAAAGTTGTTCATCACTTTCATGTTCGGAAGAAGTTCACGCGTCCGGGAGCTGGAGATCGAATTAGATGCACGCATACTCATTCACTTGTTTGTGACGTACTCTCTGAGGAAGTGGGCCGAATTTTTAACTGTTTGTTATTTACCCAAACCTGTAACAGAAAACAGAAACCGTATAATCGGCTCATAATGAAAGTGAAAATACAATGGCTTTGTTCAAAAAATTACTTCTCACAATTTTTCTTCATGTGCTCTTTGTTTGTTATGATTCGTCCGGTATAAGTGCTCAAAGGAAGGCATGGAATCTCCTCCAATCTCACCATCATGGCAGAAATAGTGACGACTGGAAGGAAGACTGGTCCTGTAAAATAATCGGAAGCTGGAGTTTGGACCATCCCATCCGGTTTGTGGAACACGCGGAGAGTGAAAGGGCAAGATAAATAGAAAAGCTGTTTGTTTTCTGTTTGTACAAAGTGCAGGGGATATCTTGGAAAAAAACTTTTTGAAATGTTGAATTTCTATCTTTCTGTAGTATCATGATTGCTCGTGCCATACGTTCTTGTCATTAAATGACTACTGAAAAGAGATTAAACAATTCTTGTCAAAAATATAAGAAATCCACAGCCACTCTGAAAGTAAGACTTTCTGTGTTTTTCCGATGGTGGCGCCAAAATGTATGAATTTTTATGGAGGGTTAAATATTTTTCAACTGCAGTTGCAGAACAAGCAGAGGAGGTACCTTGGGATTCCACAAGTACAAGTTGCTTCTAGAATATGACATGAAAGTATTCAGAGTGGCTGTGGCTTTCTCATAGTTTTGACAAGAATTGTTCAATCTCTTTTCAGTAGTATTAGTGACAGTGTGACCGCCATGAACATCATTTAACAACCTATCTGTAAAAGAAGTTATAAACTGGAGATGTTAAATATTGAAGTAAACCTACCGTTTCAAAAACATGACCAGCTTATGCGAAGAATTCATGTTTAACCTGGAGGAGCTTCTATTCGAAAACATTGTTTACACCTTGAAAGCATTTTAAGCTGAAGTATTCTGAAAAATCAAAGTAATATGTAATACTGACGTCATATGTATTTTTAAGTGATTTATACTTTATACGACCATTTATGTGTATTTGCTAAATGGGCTTGAAAAACATGACATTTCTTCCCTTTGTGTGTAAGATTTGCTGTCAAAATGTACTCAACGGAAGTTTTGACACTGATCTGTATAACATTATTTCCGTTTTGAGGAGCGAGTAACGTCGAACCAGCCGTATGTGTATTTTTTAGTAGACTGTAATAGACAACCAGAATTAGAAGCCATGACTGCGGTGACGCAACGCTCGTGGACAGGTGGTACGCGCGCGTTACATGCCTCTTTGACCAATAGGATGTCGTGATTTACCAAATGCACGCTTGCGTCAAGCTGAAGAATGTGCGAAGAGTGCGGCGCCACCGCATATGGCGTCTAATCGAATAAGTCTAGATACTCTAGTTGAATGTTGTGTTCAGTTTTTAAATCGTCCATCTCATAAAGATCATGTATTACTGAGATGACATTACTCGGTTGTTCAGAACAGTGATGACTGAAACGTTAAATTTATTGCTGTGTTGTGTCTCTGCGTTACAAAAGTGTTATGATATAGAAAGTGTTATTAGTGATTGCCTACACGGGAAAATGATCACGGTAGTGAGCAAGGAAATTTAAGTACTCATGTACATGCAATAGCCAGCGACCAGAATTAGACGGATCGAGCCTTTACTGCGGGGGCAACCAGTTTGCTGGCAGGTGCTGGGCCCACGCGCGCGCTATTTCTCTGTATCCGGTTCGTGACACCGTCAGACACACGCACGCACCGCGAATTATACGTTCCCATTGGAAGAACAGGCAAGTCGAACGATAACTTACGATTCCACGGTTTCGTGTTAACGCGCAACTATGTGAAGTGGGCGTGTTTAAACTGAAGTGACGTCACACTTACGAACCGGATAAGGATGTCGTCACTTGCCAAACAAGCGCGCTCAAGTAAGAATCTGTGTTTGAGCATGTGGCCCCGCAATAATGGCGTTTTTGTACATGTACGTGCATTAGCAGAAACCTCATTACCATACATACAATTTCAGCTTTCACATTTAATCGTGATAATCTGTGCACCACAGCACGTGACTGCAGCTCATCACGCTCTTCTGACAATAAACCATGGGTTGAAATTAATGTGATAGGGGAATGGGTATACAGTTCCACCGTGATTGCACCGCTAGTGTAAACTGTTATTATTAATGGGTATTTTTGTGCTCTTTCTAGGCTGAAGAAAATCGTTTGACATCTTGTGCCGTAATTAGCTGTCTTGTCTGCTCATTTTGTGCTTGTGCAGTTGGAGTATTGAACAACTTAACGGGAGAGGGAAATCTTTTCATTTCAGTTGCATGCATATGGCTCGTGCTAAAGCCTCCGCTTCAAAGAACTGTGGCCAATTTCATAGAACTGCTAAGCCGAAATTCGCTTAACTTAAGCGTGGAAAACCTTTTAAGAAAACAAAGGTTACCAGCTCAAACGCTATTTATTGTCATGCTAAACAAAACACAGCTGAATTCGATCCACAAACAATATACGCCGCATGGAGTTTGGGCTGGTTACCGGATTTATCCAGCAAGGTTTTCGCGCGCTTAAGCAAATTTTGTGCGTAAGCAGCTCTATGAAATTAGCCCCAGCTGGCCATAAAGGCCGCGCCGCTGACTCGGACTCTCGTGTGAACTACGCGTGGGCTTGCGTGGGACACCACAGTGAAGCAACCCCCAGTTGTCGAAATTCGAAGTGTCGGCACCTGATTTTGACATCAACGGACTTGTGTATGCAATATCGATCAGTCACAGTCTGATCACTTATCACAGAATCTTTAAAGCAAACGGACTGACCCGTAGTGAACTTGAGCCAGTAAATAACGAGGTCTCTTGGTGTTGCCAGGATTATCCATGTAACCAATCACGGGATGAACTCTTCTGACCTCTTCCGGCGGTTGTTAGACCTATATACTTACCTTCTAACGACGGCGCTTTGAAACCACGTCCTTTTTATAGGGTTGCGGACTGATAATTGGGCCAAAAAATATGTAAAGCTGGGCTCAGAAACTGCTTTAGTCATGATCGTTAGCCCGAAATGAGCCCTTTGTCCAGGCACCGTGCAAGCAGGTTGAGTAGTTTTGCCGTTGCCACAAAACCTGAAGCCATTACCTGGGCCGATTCTGATGCAGCCACAGTACAATGCAGGACTGGTGTCTCCCCTTGTCAAGGCAGAGGCACAAAAGGATTTACCTAAGGATGGCGATAGCGTCAGTTCTGTATTCCTTTTACTGAGAAGTCTCTTTTGAGCTACTCTCAAGAGCGAATTGCCTCTTATAGTCACAGTAAATAGATTGTGTGTGTGCTACAGGCGGAAGTCAAACGGTAGGCGTTGAACAAATCAAGTCAAGGACCCTGCATGAGTGGGTTGAACCGATCGCACTAGCGTTTCCCCTTAAGAGGGAGATCCGGCTGTGACAGTCAGCTACTCGAAGTGGATTTCGACATTTTACTATGTGGTCTGGTCATATGACTGAAGATTGCTTTCAAGGTCTGGTGAGTTGATGATGTACTTGGGTCACAATTAAGACTGTCATTGGCTGTGACCTCTTGCAGAAATCTGCTTATGATATTGCTTTCAAACAACCAGAAACAACCAGAATCATCAGGCTTATGCCCACTACGAGCGCCCTGAACTATCAAAGGTTCTGACAATGACCTTACGTACGGACGTGCCTTAACTACCGGGTATCCGCACTCAATGCCGGTAACTTTGGGAGCTACGTGTGGGCCGCCACGGTGAGGTAACTGATAAAGATACGTCGCCTGATACTTACGAAATTACTTCGTCATTTTACGGAAATTTCCGAGTACCCAAGCCGCAAAGCTGTGGGAAACTAATTGGAAATATCGGCCGTACAAGAGGAAAACCAGAAACGGAAAAACCTTTGGTACAGCGATAGGAAAGTGCGGTGTGGATCATAATTTTAGGTACATACGAAATAATACCTCAGTGGAAGGGCCAACTATGAACTCGATAAAAGGGAGAACTGGTGACTAGTGGGAAGTGTCTTCAAAAAAACTGTGTAACAAAACTCCGGACTGTTAAAAAGAAAAATAAACTTGCCTCTCCTCTGGTCAACTTGCCTCTTCCGTCGTGAAGATGAAGTCCCATATTCTGCAGGTTTCTTCTGTGACTTGCATTTGCCTGCTGGTTATTTTGTTATCCGTCGACGGCAATCCTGTCGAGAAAGCAGAGGGAAATGCTCGCAAAGACCAAGACCCTAAAAGTGGGGACATAGGTGAGAACTTAAGTTATTGCTAGATTTATTCGTGAAGAGAAAACAATGTTGTTTTATTTGTCAGCTTATAAAACATCCCCACCCTGTTACCCCCGAGGCGGTGTGCTGTAACTTCTGGATGGGACTATATATTTGAGGGAACAGCGGAAAATGAAAGCTACGTGTTGATTTTTTCCGAGTGAAGCACAGTGACAGGACAAGAGAAAATGGAAATCTTTGTACCTTACGTACAATGAATAGTGAATTGTCTTTGTAAATATAAAAATTATTGCAAGGTAGTATTGTAGTCATTCAGGTCATTTTCTTTGTTAACCTCTAGGTGTTCTGCGTAATCTCGATTTCAGATTTGTCCAAGCCAGGAACCTGTCCTTCTGAACAAATTGTCTCTAAGCACAGTCTGGCAGTGTGTACCTTGGACTGTCTCTTTGACCTGGAGTGTTCGGGAACCATGCGATGCTGCCCGGACAGTTGCGGTGGGGCGGCTTGTATTGAGACTACGGAAAATGAAGGTAGGTCTATTCACAATCTGGTGCAGGTCTCCTGGCTCTGAGGTGCAATTAAGTTTCTGTCCCCTTCTCCGATTAAACAGGGTGATACGAAGAACAACAAACTTTCATCCGAATCCACTGACGTAAAAAAAAAAGAAGAGAGATTCAATCTCATAATTTGTGCGAAATTTTCCGAAATTTCTGGCAATTGGAATTTGAATACTGTTACGTTCATTACGTTTAAGCCTCTCGAAGTAAAATGATGACAGATTTTCTTTATTAAAGACAATTGTATTTGGGGTTTTAGATCGTGAGTTCTAGTCTCCCTGGATGGGACATACAAACAGTGTACATGAGACACACTATCCCATGTCCAATGTACAGTCCGTCAAATTGTTATGGATTGTTATCTTACGTGGATGAATCTAGTGGCACCGTCCTTGACAAAGCGGCAGAGTGGAAGTATGGAAGGAAAAACTTATGGTGGAAGTAACAGAGAGATGGCAATTTTATTTCGGGTTTTTTTTTTTTGTGGCTGAACCCGGAACCAGCAGTGCCTTCCCGTTTCCTGTTATTGTTGGAAATGGGTCGACGACGAAGCATTAAAGATGAGATCCCTTTTAAACTGGAAGTTAAAGGAGTGGTCACGTATGTTGTGTGTAGTCAAATCACATTGGCACCACCAGTTGTAATACGCCCCTTTTACGATGGTGGCAATTACACTTGAAATACAGCTTATGACCGCAATCGAAGATGACTATTGAGGAATTTGGTGTAGGGTGTGCTTTCACGTTTATCATGTGGCAGAAAGCACAGTCAGCCTGAGTCAAGTCAGTTTTTAAAAATTTAGAAGCCATCACTGCGGGGCCGGGCCATCCTGTCGGCGCACATGGACAGTATACGCGTGCGTCACAATCCTCTCCAACCTATCCGGTCCGTAAGTGTAACGTCATGTCAGTTTAAACCACGCCCACTGCACACGTGTACTGCACATAGGATTACATGCATTGATCGCCGTATATGTGGAACCATGGAACCGAAAGTTAACGTGCAAGGCTTCTGCGATCGTCCAATGGGAGCCCGCGAATCGTGGCGCATCCGTCTTTGTGACGAAGTCACTTACGCACCGGATAAGGTGTCTAGACGTACGTGCCACAAAGCGCGCACACGCTCAAGTTGTGTGTGAGTGCATCTCATCGGATTCGTTTTTACTCACGAGGATCTCTCCGTCCTGTGCCAATTAACTACGTCATTTTTGTACTAGTTTATTCATGCATTAACCAACTCGATGTTTAATTGGGAAATATCGAGATAGAAGACGACCATAGAGAAATGTTAGGATGTTTGACAGATGGGAAAAATAGCTTGGTGATGAACCAGCTTGGAGTTACATAACCTATGGGTCTGCCGTCACAGGCGCAATGTGATTTTTTAATATGACAGTGGTCGGACAAAATTAATGACAAAAACCCAACAGAAATAATAATGTGTCGCTTTGACAAGGTTTAAGATGACCTTAAAAAAACTCTAGGTTTACTCGAATTAATAAATGTTTCTAAACCAAGGCAAGAAGAGTACTTTTAAAGCAATGATAAAATAACGACTAAATTGCATTCAATATCAATCGAAAATGGAGAACAACATAAAAAGCCATAAATATGCCATTCTGAATAAAACACACTGCAGATGTAGGCTTCATCAATATCATGTCTATCGACCTATGCATATTGTGTCACCCCCCACCTTTCCTCATACCTATCACCCCCCCCCCATTTCCGGCACAAATTTACACTACTGCATGCCCGGAACCCTTCGTATTAGAACCCCCCCCCCCAAAAAAAGCTGAAAATTTCGGATAAATTTCATGCAAAAATCAACAACGGGAAGCATGCTATAAAATAATAAAGCTCAACAAAATGAAGCGAAGCAATGAAGATACATGCAATACGACCTTGTACATTTTAACTTACAGAGAGCTTGAGAGTGTCACGCCGAAAAGTCTCTGGTCTGGGCCGATTTGAGGAAAGGCTTAGCACAGCAATGTTGAAACACAGGTCTCTTTGACACATTATGGTCGTCGTGGTGGCGGGCATGCATGCAGTGTGCTTAGCCGGTAGCTTGAGGTAGCCCTCTGTCTCTTAGCTTTCACTCCGTCCCTGCTAGCACCGGGTCCACGTCCACTGTACTCGCACAAGCCAAGTATACCCCACCGTGTCAGTCTCGTACTCGATGAATCTTGGCATTCTACGCCTTATATACCCACTATTTCACAAAGAGAGCTAAACAAAAGACATACCAAAGAGCTTAAAAACAGATTTGTGCGAGCGTCCATTCAAAAGACTATACGTAGGCCTACTATTCAGGCGTATCGGCAGTCGTATTCAATCGCATTCTTTTAAAATTGGACGGGGCGCGTGCTGACAAGAACTGCAAGTTGAAAATAAAAGTCTTATTCACTAATAAACAAACACTGACCCTTAATACTAAACTTACTTTCTCTTCCAGATAAATCCAGCACAATTCAGCCAGCAACAGAGACGATCACCAGCCCTGCCAGAGCCAGCAGTGAAAGTGCAGGTGATTGTAATATCCTGCGTATTTGAGATGGAAAATGCACACGACCAAATAGTTGGACACTCTTTTGTGAACCAAAGCAAATTGTTCCAGCGGTTTAACTTCAAAACTTTCTTTGAGTAGTCCTCGACATGTTTCCTTTTTCTTCGTGTTTCTTTTTTGGGCGGGTGGGTTCTCCGTACTAACTCGAGGATCCTAGTCTCCTCGTGGTTCACAAACAAAGCCCTAGACCTTAATAGCTACCTGTTTTAAATGCTCTTTATCTGTGCGGTTCGCAGACAACACTAAGCCTGAATCAACAGTCTCTGCTACCATCAGGACAAGAACCAAAGAAGCTACGGCCTCCTCTACATCAGACAGTACTCCTTTTAAGTCACCGCAACAAAACTCCCAAATTTCACTGCCAACTCGAGGATCCTAGTCTCCTCGTCGCTCACACGCAGAGCTTTAGACCTAACAGCGCCCTGTTTTAAATGCTTTTTATCTGTACGGTTCACAGATAGCACTACGCCTGAACCAACAGTCTCTGCTACGATCAGGACAAGAACCGCAGAAGCTACGGCTTCCTCTGACAACAATGCAGAGTCAGGTAGGCCTTCGTTTGAAAACTATTTTAGCATCCTTCCAAGATGCTGTCTACTGAGAGAAATCTAGGCCCACATGACATTATTATCTGAACGACTGTAGGCTTATACAACCTGATTAGATTAAGTACCGGTAACAGGTTTGCTGTAGCACTATGCGAAAATACCTCTTTCGTATGTGTGGTTTTGAAAAGGGTACTCAACGTTTCAGACTCTGTCCTTCGTCTGGACACAGACAGTATGCTCTGTCCTTCGTCTGGACACAACCTTTTCAGACCCAATCATACTCACAAGATAGATATTTCCGCACACCACAAACTTCTTTCATAACTTTCCACCTTCACCGTGAAAAAAACCCAAATCTCCATGCAGCTGATCAAAGTCTTAGTTATGACAAGTCAGAGGGTCTCTTTGTTGGCGTGTGTATGACCACAAACAAGCCTCTCCTCCTCCAGAGCACAGAGGGTGCATAAGTTTTCCGACAGGTGACATTAAATGTGATACCGAATTGTCTCTTCAACAGATTTACACCTTGACGGGGATGCGGTTGTCAACGTATCAGTCGTTGTCGGCAAGGACTTGGTTCTCCACTGCAACATCTCCACGACTGGGAGTGAGCCGCTGCTGTTCTTCTGGATGGTGCAGACGGACGGTGGCTTTCTTTCGTGGTCAGATGTGACCTCGACCGATAACAAGCGAGGTGAGCCCGAATTGGAAGCACGAAGCCGTGTCCGAATCACTTGGCTACGACTCGAAATCACACACAAGTTTACGGTAGTGGCTGTAGCCACTTCCAATAGGGTCGTGTGTGATTTCAAAACGCAGCCAAGTAATTCGGGCAAAGCCTGATCACGTTTGCAGGCTTTTGAGGCCCGGAACACGAACTGCATAATCTATACCAGCGTTGCAAACAGTTGTGAAGGTCTGGAAGTTTTTATTACGTGTCCTTTGAACTATGAAGAGTTCGTTGACGGTTTGTACAAGCCTCTGAAAGCAAATGACAAAGTTCAGGATCTTTCCTCTTCCTCCACACGCTTTTAATATTTTGTCTGTTCATACCGGCCTACTGTTCATGATCTCAAACAAGACAGTTGTGACATCAAGCCAATAAGACAGACTGGGGTACACTTTGTTCTAACCTAGAAGTTTACTGGTCACAGCCAGTTGTATTTATAAGGTGAATATCTCTTCAAATATAAAAACACTGGGGAATACGACACAGTATGTTCAAAAAAGTCGATGACATTTTGAAATTCTCATCATTTCCTCATCCAGTGTCTCACGGAGGAGCTTGGTTGGAGATTCTCGGAGCGACGCTACAAGACTCCCAGAGCTTTGTCTGCTTTGGGGGTCATTCGATCGGTTACCTGACGCAAACCTACATGGTGACTGTGACAGAGAAACCAGGTATAAATATAATTATTAAGTTTCAAAATATGTCCTATAGTGTAGTACAGAACAAACGTAAAAATTGGTTCCACAGTCTAGTTTAGTACGGGAGCGACAGTATAGAAATTGGTTCCTTAGTGTAGGTTAGTACAGAACAACCGTATAAATTGGTTCCACGGTGTAGTTTAGTACGGGAGCGACAGTATAGAAATTGGTTCCTTAGTGTAGGTTAGTACAGAACAACCGTATAAATTGGTTTCACTGTGTAGTTTTGTACGGGAGCGACAGTATAGAAATTGGTTCCTTAGTGTAGGTTAGTACAGAACAACCGTATAAATTGGTTCCACAGTGTAGTTTAGCACGGGAGCGACAGTATATAAATTGGTTCCTTAGTGGAGGTTAGTACAGAACAACCTCAAACAGTAGTAATGAGAACAGGACAATTTCATGGTGCTGCTGAGTGCATAAGCAAAGGATAGTTTACCAAACGAATTATCATCCAGTATTTAAGTGCTTTGGGGAAATATACATTTCTTGTGACTTTCTCTCGGCTTACCCAGCATGCAACAAAATGGTAAGTTAAATTAATAGCCTCGCAGATTCGTGGAAGTCGGGACAACGTGCAGAGCTACATTGGATTAGACCCAGTCGAGCTTTTGCTTGTGAGATGGATATATCAATAAACCTGAACATCCGCTTCAACTAGTGAATGAAAAGTTAAGTTCGGCATTCGAGAACCAAAGGTGGTTAAGGTTGTTGAATCTGAGATTGGAACCTGAGACCAAATGATCTAGGACTGAATTCTGGCGCTCTTTCTGTTCTTCAGAGACCAGTCAAGGGAGTCCACCGGACAGCTGTGCCAACGACGCCTGCATGAATGGAGGCTCGTGCATCGAGGAGGAGGACCACACCTACCACTGCGTGTGTCCAGATGGATATCAAGGTTCGTGATTGAACTGTGGACGATCAGAGCCTTTTGGCGTTTTAGTTGTGACGGATTTGAGGGATGGTTCCAACTTTGCTGCAGACACTTATAAATCAGTCACAAACATTACAGTATAAGAGCCTGGCTTTCAGAAGACATTCCTAAACCAAATAGGAAATATGGAAAAATCGCAGATTTGTTAACGTACATAAACACAGTTACTTGCGCGTGCAAGGTGTATACTATCGTTTACTGTACGATTACAGTACAAAGTGGAATAGCATATCACGAGTCACTCTAAAAGACGAGGAATGAATAAACTTCAGTTGCTTAGGAAGAACTAAGGAGACTTATGCCATGCAGTGTGTTCAATACCACGAACAGTAATTATCACGAATTTAAACGAAATTAAGTTACACATCATCGTATCAGTTAAGACTTGGCCTGACTTCCTAGATTCTGTCAAAAAAAGAGCAAATGTGTTCCTGGAAATATTTGTGCTAGATATTATTTTGCGCTCTCTTTAAACTCACTAACAGGAGAGGGCTGCACTGAGGTACTGAACCCCTGCGGGCAACATCCCAACATCTGCCAAAATGGTGCTACGTGTGTGGCCGCCGACAGCCATTTCTCTTGCAAGTGTGCTCCCGACTGGGAGGGTGTACTTTGCCAAGACAGGGTAAGCGCGTGTCGCAGCTCCCCTTGCCTCAACGGCGGAGAGTGCGTTGATTTGGTCGACACCTTCCGGTGTGTTTGCCCTCCCAAATTTTCGGGACTCCGCTGCAAGGAGAAGCGGCCCGTGACGACGGAGACGAGTAGAGAAGAGACTACTCTGCCTCCTACCACAGTGCCGATGTCCGATGCCTGCTACTTGCCACTGGATATGGGCACCTGTTCGAGAAAGGAAACTAAATGGTGAGAGTAGAAAATATGTCTCATAATATCAGAAAAAATTTTAGACTAGAAGGAGAAAACGAAATCAGGCAATAATTTAAAGTCAACTGTAATTAACGGGGAAGAGTTTTTACAGATTCATAGGCCAGTGTAGAGATTGTTTGTCCGCAGGAAAAATTTTTGTAGGGAATTAAGCAGTTTTGTGAAAATTGCTGTATTTGGGGCTTAACTTGGTTCCAGTCTGTTATTGTTTGATCTCGTGGAAATCAAATGACAAAAGAAGGCCATAAAATGCAACTGAATACTGCCGGCCTTGAGTCACATTTGCACACTTAGTAGGATTGACCTGGTCTAATTCTGACAGTTCTATCATTTTCGGACAAGACACGAAGCTTTCACTTCGCCATGTTTACACCGTGACAGGTACTACGACACGGAGACGGAGCAATGCCGGCCTTTCGTCTACAACGGCTGCCGGGGTAACGCCAACCGATTCTCGAGCTACGACAACTGCCACTGGGAGTGTCCCCGGCTCCCGGCCGACCCTTGCGCCCATCCCATCGTCACAGGACGATGCAAAGCCATGATTCCCAGATGGGCGTACAGCGCTGAGAGCCGTACCTGTGTGGAGTTCGTGTACGGTGGTTGCCTGCCAACGGGGAACAACTTCCTGACACGGGAGCAGTGTGCTCAGACATGCATGTCAGGTATATAGACCTTTCTTTTCTGTACAAACACTGCATGACCGCCATTCTGTACTGGTGGCCAAATTTTCAGCCATTTAACACAGTCTTGTATTCAAATCCATCACAAGCCCCTGTAAGTCCATCACAAGTCCATCACAATGAGTTTTAGCCAATTCACAAGCTATTCAAATGAGCTGTGACAAAACCATTTTTTTTTGTCATTGTTCACCCTGTTACTTGTGACTGGCCTTGTGAAGGGATTTGTGACTGGACTTGTGAAAGGACTTGTGATGGACTTGAATACAACACGGGTGTAACGACAGCGTTTGTCTCAAATTGCGTATCTGTTCCGTAAATTATGTAGACTGAGGCATTTTGCAGACAGAATGTAGCAGAGTCAAAAATATCAACACAAACATGAGAATAAAGGTAGAATGTCCGTACAAAATCAAGGAACTAGACGGTCTCGATGTGCATATTGCAGAATCACAACATCCACCGACAGGAAGAATCCTATATTCCGTGAATGGCTGAAATTTTAACAGTTCGGATCTCTACGTATTTCGTGGCTAATATCTCCCTTTTTCTTCGGTGACATATGATTAAATTATTATTATGCAGATACCCCACAGCAGTGTGAAGTGTGCAATCCACCAAGCCTTGCAATGGCCTACTGTAATAGTGACTTTGGTAAGAACTTTAAAAATTTGCAGAATTTATTCGGTATTTTAGAACATAGCGATAATAGCACACACAAACATGGGAGACAAGATTTTTTTTCACTTCTGGACTCGTTCCTTGACTTCTTTTATAATCCCAGAATAGAATGAAAGGGTCAGGAATCAGCCTCCTTGGCTCTCCTGAATCAAAACCCCACCTTCCGTCCCTGTACGGGTTCATCGCTGAAAATAGCCTGAGAGGCTGTTTTCGTTTAGGTTAACGAATGCACAAGAGATTTACTCCAGCCTATCTCAGTGATCCAAAGCTATTGGCCTCTGAGGACAAGCTGTAACCTATGTAACTTGGCTTCAAATAGGAATAGGCCTCCTATCTCACACACCTATGAAAGCCACAGCCGCTAACGGTTGCATTTCGACAGAATCGCGTGTCTTTTGATTAAGCCACAGCCAGGTTGAACGCGGCTTCATACTCAGCTTTGTGTGTTCTGATTTCAAAGTGATCACTGGCATCGTCCGTCGACAGTTGTTTGCCGATGGTACACTAAAGACTGTCGTCTTGGAACTGACCAGGCGTTACAAAGGACACAATTTAACACTCCGGCGGTCCAAATTCCTCGACGAGCCGATTTTCATCGTCAAGAGTCGATCCCAAGAATCGGATACGTGCCGTAACGACTGTTTCAAAGACCTGGAGGGTAAGATCTGCTGATGACATCACATACAGTCAGTGACATCTCAAAGAAACGACCGCACATTGAGCTCAAACCGTTTCTCCATTTTCAGAAAAAAAAATCTATGAACTAAAACTGGCAGAAATTAAAGTACACTTGCTGAGAACATCAATACAGCAATTGCAAATTAACTGTCACCTGCCATATCAGTTTAACATGAATTCCATACTTTTGAAATTGATTCCTCTTTGTCCTAACTTTGTTCCCTCCAGACGGCAAGGAATATATTCTGACCGGAACCCTGTCGAGAGAGGGCGGTAGCACTACCGCCCACCTCACCAGCAAGAGCTACGTCAAGCCCGTTGTCGGCAGAAGGCTGACCAAATTAGAAATGATCAAGAATGACAGAGCTTTCAATAGAAGATGCTCGCGCCGACTGGAAACCCCACTGTAGGGAGCTGACAGTAAAAGTTTCCTACAACTATAAAAGAAGTGATTTCCTTTACTCAACGTGGGGATCCCGGAAGTTGTTTTTTTGTACGGAGCGCTTACATGCCAGATAGGATTGCTTGAAGGGTTGGTTTTAAGGTTAAAGTGTGTGGTATAACTTTTAATTTAAATCACTTGTAATTAGTTTGTAGATTGCCCTAGGGGTAAAATCCAGCCGCATGAAACGAGCCAAATCGGTACTCCAACAGCACATGCTCAAAGGAAGTGCGCCCGAGGTCATTTCAGCGCGATCCTACGCGGACTCGCGCACGCGCTTTATTCGCCAATGGCCTAGCTTTTTTGAAACACCGATCTGGCTCGAGCAGGGACACGTTTTAAACACCGCTTCCAGTCCGGCAATAGTTCTGATATTTTGCATCTGGCCAGTTCCATCTCTCTGTAATGGCTACTTAACAGACTGATGTTTTAAAAAGGTCAACAGTTCACTGATTGTAGGGCCTACCCTTAAATTCGCACTTGTTACTTCACCGTGGCTGTACAGGTACACAAATGCTGCCATTATTTTCCCAATTTAAGACGGAAGTGTTAAATGATGAATCATTATCATTTGTGCAAATTAGTATGCATAAATGTGGTCGACACGGTAGACAAATGTAGAGAATGTAGTTGCTTCTTTGTGCATGTCGTGTGCGCATAATTATAAAGGCCTGCAAGTTGTGGTCTTCTTGTTAATCTTGATGGTACTGTATTTTTTAATGTAATCATAGAGATAATTAGACAATCCACCTATTTTCCAGCAACAGAGGCTCCATTGTTGGGAACTGCTGGTTCACAAACGATTATGAAATGCACGCCTTACGGTCGCATGGCTACCAGCAAACTAAATATATCATTCCCACCAAAATGCCTCTTTTTAACCGATGAGGGGGTGCTTCTGCTCAAGGCGGATAAAACATAACTGTGGGTCTATCAAAGTTTCCTTCAGCGTTGTTGTTGTGTATCGTGTTCTGCCCTTTCTTGTCATGGCCAGAACTGTTGTACTGTCATAGCTGCACGCGCAAATAATAAACCACAATAAAGCAAGTGCTACCCGTAAGAATGTTTCACTGCAATCAGGAGGCCTTCACATTATGTACAGAGCGATTAAAAATAATGAAAAAAGTGTTGCCTTTGATCGTGTTGGTTCAAATGTTTGGATAGATGAAAAGTGATTTTCGATGTGCTTGTTATGTTTCAATTAAGGAGTAATCTAGAGCTATTTTGTTCATAAAATGGAACCGGGGGCAAATCTGTCGTTCCCCTGTTCAGCAATTGCCTGCAAGAGTCGACAAAATGTATACTGGTCCAACAATTATTGCCTTGGCAAAGACGCTGTTACTTGACGCAGAATTTACAACAGTAAACATTAAGGCCAAAGTAACGAACGAGTTCCAGGGTGTTTTCTACCTGATATAACTATGTCTCAGCGGCGTAAATGGGACACCATATGTTGACTTTCGGCACGTGTTGACTCTGACTATACAACGCACTGCGCTGATGCAGTGACAGCAGTAATGTGACCAGCCAATCAAACAACCAAATCGGAACCATGTACAAGTCGCCTGTCAGTTGCGCGTGTCCCTGCCATGGCAACAGCTCGTCCACGTGCCGCGACCGTGTGCCACCTGTTGTTCCCGCGTCTCTGGTTTCGCGGTTGCTGAATGGTGAAAATTGCTATCCCAAAATCATGGCCCTAAAGATGCCGAGGATGGCTTGATGACGGCTTTATAATGATGGCTTAATGACGCTCCCTACCCCTGCCCCTTTTCTGCATTGTCGTCTGCTCTTCAAAACATGTTATAGATTCGTTGGATTCATTTGAGGTCTTTGTTTGTTTTGTGGGTTATGGATTTTTTTCCAAAGGGGCGGTTGTTCAGTGGCGTTAATTGGAGGGAACTTTTCTTGGGGGCACCTGTGGTGTATCCATTTTTGAAAGATTTCCATAAAATGACGCATTAATTTTTCCCGACAGTGACTACAGGCCATCTCAAAACAATGAAATTGAGCATTAAAATGTTGAAGAATTAGCGCAGAATTTTTTAGACCAGTCTCATAGTGTTTGTGTGCAGGGTGTCAAGCGGCATCCATGTGTGCAATTCTTTCGTGTATTTTTTTTCAAAATGACACCAAAGGCAAATGAACTGCAGCTTGTACACAATTATTAGTGTGTTCCTTTTGAGATTTCAAATAGGGGGACTCAGAAGGGGTGCCGGGGGTGTGTGACGAGAGGCACGTGCCGCCGCCCTTAGTCGTGACTAGCCCAACCATGCAAGTAACACTTGTCCAACTCCCTCTCTTTCCGAACTGAAAAACTATCACTTGGGGAATGATAGACTGCACTGCATCCGCATAGCAAGCAGATGTTCGGCCAACGTCACTCAACCTAACATTTGCCCAGTACAGAGCACTCTAATATTGCCAACAACTTGTATGGGCGGCCAAAGTTTCCGGAAATATCACCTCTTGGTTCGTTTTCGATTTTACCTCAAATTCGTTCAGTATGGACATTTGTCTCATAGGGTTGTATTTTCATTCAGTTTTTAGTAGTAAGCGTTTATTAGTGTACGCATTTGGTAATTCTAAGTGTTGTAATAGCTGCGTGGGGTATTTAACAGTTTGTGAATAATTTTTCCACTTTTGTACTGGTGGCCAGCCATAGTTGTAGCAACCACTTGAAGGAAAAACATGGCTGTGACGTCAAAGGAGCAGGCCCTATAAATACGCCGAGCGAACGCTGGCCAAAAGAGATGCTTGCCATGCATGTCAGATCTTTTCTCCCGGTTGTAAAACAAAATAATTTCCATACTCAGTGTGTGGATGTATATCAAAATTACTTAGTTACTTTAAAGATTACAAGCCGATAAGGTGACAAATAAATTTGTTCTGTGCTACAAGATAGTGGTGGCTTTGAAAATAAAATGCATGCTGTGTGTAAAAAAAGGGAAGGGATCCATTTGACATCACCTGTCTAAGGGGAGTCGACAACAAAAACATGGCAAATAATGTGTTCCAAAAGCTGGAAATATTTTTCTCTCTAAAATCAGTGTCACTTTAGAATTTTGTAATTATAGATGACATTCACTGAGATACGCGGGAAAAAGTGGCGTCAGGATGCAATATTCTTTTATGCAAAAGCTTGCCACCTGTTCAAATGATTGTTGATGACCAACTTTCCGTGAGCGTGACTTTTCCTTTCCAGTATAAGAAGAAAAGAAGAGACAACAAAGGGTCGCTGATAGTGAATTGCCTTTCAATAACACACCTGTGTAGATAAGCCCTGTTATGTTTAAACCCCGCGTATATCATTGCAAGTGTAGTAAACTGGTCAATCAGTGCTTTGATAACACTAAAAATGCATACATCCCGTATTTGTTGACAATAGCCGTCTCTGAGAGACGGGCCACTGAAGACCACCATGCACGACTACTATACCGGAAAGTACCTTGTATTTTTTTGTTCTTTTTTGAGCGATCATTCCAGGGGTGGTGTTGACACATCATGACGTTGTATTTGAAAGTGATAGGGTCCAATAGCGGGGCCGAACAAAGGATCGGTGGAAAGCCAAGTTTGTATTTACACTCGGTACTTACTCGATAGTAGCGAGACAACAGCAGGGCATTAGTGGGGCATAGAGGGTTAGCTGGCGGTGCATCAGACGAGACGATCACGCTGAGATCTTTGACGGGAGCACCGCTCAACTTACTCGACTGTACCAGGATCTCCAAAGGCAGTGGGGTGAGCGATTTCCTGTCGGTCAGAGTGAGTAAACGCGTTGGCAGCTGCCTCTTTGTGAAACTCCTTGTAAAATGGCGGATGCTTACGCTCTTTTCTGAGCTCTAGTGCGTAGTGCAGCCGGCTCAAAAAGCGATGTGGCGTTTCGCACTTTTGGGAGGGGACTGGTACCCTGCGCACGTAGTACTTAACCCTCCCTGTCTCTGAGTGCATCGGAAAAAAAAACGAATCTTAACTTTTCTCTGGATAAAGGTTTTGGTTTTACGGAAAGGAATTTAAGGTATTCTCATCCAACATAATCAGCACTTGATTACCTCCCTACTGAACCCAACGGCGCGAAAACTGCGGGGAAAAATTCAGCCAATTACGGCCCGCGTTGTATGAGACCTCGTTAATTAACTGAAGTTGATGGGAGAAAACGAGTCGTCTGCCCAGACTGCGTGTGCTAAGACTTCGTGATTTACCGCAGGCCTACGTCTAGGTCGGTGGGGAGACAGTTTTGGATTGATTCCGGCGTTGATTGTTATTCTGACCTCTGTTGGTTTCCAGAATGGATTATATCGACATGGATGACGTTCCGGCGGCCAGATCTGGTAAGCTCCTTCGATATCACTAATATGTGTCATATTAAGTTCTTCTGTGAAAATTTTTCTGATGAGTATTCAAAACCCTTTGTACACTATACATCGTTTCAATCGACAGTTTTTTAATCATATCAGTCACAAAGTAAAATATTGGTCAAACATGTTTGTCAGCAATCGATATATTGAAGGAAAACCGGAATAAAAATTCCTTTGTCAGTTAATGTGGGAGATTTTTGCTTATCAGGCCATCGTTCCAAATCAAAGCATACGTGCAGTACCAGACGACAGGAGCCCCTCCCAACACCGAAGATTATGAAATGGCAAGTGAACCTGTTCTTTCGGACGATTTATTCTAGATATCATTTTATGTCAAAGACGTGTATGTCTGCTGTGCTTAGTTGAAATCTAATACATAATATGTGTTATACGATGTTATGTCAGTGCTTAGAATTAAAGGTGCAGTTTCTCAAGTGAGCTGAGTTGTTGGCCGAAGTTGCTCAAACTATGCCCTGTTACTGCCACATCAACCATTTTTATTTGGGCAACTTTTTATTGAAGGTTGCAGTCCAACTACGAGCTTGCAGACGGCGTTTGTATCCCGCGAAACACGCTCTACGTCCACTACACAAGCTTCTGCGAGAAGACTAATACTCGTGCTATGAACGCTGCTAGCTTTGGCAAGGTAGAGCAAAATTTGGAGACGTGTAACATCTTGTCATTTCTACGTACGAACATGCCCACAAGTGTTCTCTTATTGGATAAAATTTATCGATTCGGTCTTTTTTTTTGTTGGTCTTAAAGTAAGTTGACCAACAGTGAATAACTGGTCAGGATTACACTGAGAGACAGCATTTTGAGAGAACATATTCTAGATAAACACACTGGAAGGAAATGAACCCATTTACCAATGACACTCCGCCAGTGCTATAAGTTGCGATGAGGTACATTCCATAAAGTCACAGAAGGATCCCAGTTACCCAAATAGGCCTATTTCTCCCAGCAGTGATTTCACCTTTCAAGAATGAGTCCCTTTGATACAGACACACTTCAGCAGTGAAACGGTCCTCCAAAGCAGATTTGCCTTTGTCCGCCAAGGAGGCGAGCAATCCGCACACAAAGACCTGGGCGGGCAGACGGACTCACTCCAAAATCTTGGAGTATCAGCTGGTATCGCACTCGCAAGGCCATGTACCCTTTACATATGTATACTCGTGGGGTATTTCCTTTGTTCTCGTGGCTGCGCTTGTACATGGTGCCTTGTGGAAGGTACCCCACAAGGCCAGTTTTGATCCTTGTCGGGTACTAAAGTGGTACCCCACAAGAATTTCACGAAATAGATATATCAAATTTACTCAAAAAAGAGAACTTTTCAAGTGCCATTCATGTGTCGCAAATTGAAATGTTTTATATAAGGGACATACGGTCGACATTTCAACCCAGGAAACTGAATTTGGTTGAAATCGCAGTGATTAGAAATTATTTCTGTGTTGTGTGGGAGTTTTGTACATTCTCGTGCATAAAACACTCTAATATTTGAAGCAAATAATGTCTTTTGTGTAATGAAATATAGTTTCCCACCAGGCTTGTATCTAAATAAGACCTGACTGTAAACACTACCTTATATTTAAAAAAATCATTTCAGTTCTGCCTCAATGTTTCAGAGAATCGTGTTAAACCATACTCTCCGTCTCATTTATATTGTTTTCATAAACACACCAGAGTTCATTAATAAATAATACAATGTTCATGATCTTTGTTCAGATGATAAGACAAAAGTTCCCTCAGTTGACGACGAGGCGTCTGGGAACCAGAGGACAATCAAAGTAAGACACACTTTTTTTCTAGCCAGAATTATCTTTATTTTGACATGATTATGTCATAATAGAACGCATCCACAAGGAAGCCATTCTGTATGTGAATCTATCATCTTCAACGTAATCTTTTGAATGGGGCGGTGTGGGACTATTTTGGATTCCAAGCCTACACTTTCAATTTCTTTTTTTCATGTGCCTTGAATATTTATATATAGGCCCTAATTTACCACCAATTTGGAATTATTCTAAACAAAACCTGGCATGAATTCGTATTGAGCTTTAATTTCGCCATTGTTATTTTAATTCTCATGTTCCTAAAGACCTCACCGACAAATCAACAAGCGTCTTCTTTCACTGTACACTGCAAACTCTGTAGTGTTGACTTGGTGCTGGTTTAACACCTTCGGTATCCTTACAGGGCAAGACCAGTCCGGTGCTGTTCCGTGTGGATACCGAGGGTATTTTAACTAATACCACAGTATTTGTAGCATAAGTGTGCCTGACATCTGGTAGCGTCGAGAAAATCACACATAAATTATGAAGAGCTGAAGTATCTGGCCAGAGTTTGGGTGTTAAAATAGTTCAGTGTGGTGTTTATACCTGCCAAGATATCCAAACAGATTAATTTTAAAAATTGCAGTTACACCAGTGAAGTCACGCTTAGATTTCGTTAATGAAAATGGGAAATTAGTTAAATAATTTGATTAGTTAATCCGAATTCGACCCGGCCCTGAGGAGAACTCACAATTACAGTTCCACATTATCAACAGCCCTAAATATAATCATAAGAACACACAGTTTGCTAACCACCTTAATATTCGGCATGCCCTAAGAAGAGAGAGTATTTTTTATATCTCTGCTAGGTATCATTATTACGGAATCGCAGTTAAGGAAGCTTCCGAATACTATGAGGAAAGTTACTCAAGTAAAGCTGCTGAAAGGTAAGATATACGTTATGTAATTATGGAAACCAGATTTATGATATTTATTTGAAAAAAGAGACCGTAATCGGGGCAGTAAAACCGAAGGAGCAGTGTTCATATCTTCGAATTGCACTTAAGTTGTTGCAACTGTATTTATGAACCACATAATTTTTTTTTACAGTCCCACGAACAGTTCAATTTGGTTATAAAGCCGAGCCCGGCAAATTCTTACCAGAATATGCATGGGACATTTTCCGACATATGATTTGAGAAAAAAAAAGAGTCAACATTCCAATTTCTATCATTCCTTTGATAAAAGAACCAGTGGACATATCGAAGAATCTGATTTTTGCACAATGGGCTGTTATGCAGACGGCCTCTTCAGCGTGTAATTCTAGATAGTGAGACAAACACACAAGACAAGCACCGGCCACTCGTCCTTTCTGTCGGTGAAGTCCGGTGTTGACACTGCTAGTGTTAACGCAAACGTTTAAACACTGGCTTTTCGCAGGTGCCGTGTGTAGGGACCAACAAATCCCCACTTCACTCAATGGCTCTGTCTATATGCACAACGTGTGCGATGTATACAGGCTACCAGTCTTTACAAGTCGTATTAATATTAGGTTAAGATCAGTTGTCTGCGGTATTAAACTCGGTCTCTTCAAGTTGAAAGAAATGGGTCTGCGAACCTTTTTTTATTATCTTGATACGAAAAGAGCCTTGTTGGAAGAGGCTTGACATAGTTATGGACCACTGATGTCTGACAGTCATCCTTGGCATTTTTAAACACAAGTGTGGGGATTTTATAGGGTCAAATTCCACATGAGGAGGGGGGTTCTAGAACTTTCTGTGGCTTCGACTCTGTAAGTTCAGCGTCATAATATCAGTCGCCGACTTTTGGATGCTTTGCTTATGCCTATTACTTTCTTTTCCTTTCATTTGGTTGTTAATCTTCGTATGGGTTGAAAACTGCACCTTTGTATTGTTTGGTGTATATTATACCGTTTGTAAATACTGGACCAGTTATTTCAGCCTAAGGCTTTTCAGCCCTTCACGCTTTTCCACTCCGCCGTGCCTAATGCCCGTAGAGTAAGTAATATCTCTACCCTAAGCACCAACGAAAGGTTCGTACTGTGTGAAATGTACAAATTGCAAACTGTGCATTTATTGGTGAACAGCTGTTGTTTTGGGATGTCAGGAAATAACTGAAGATGAACTCAGTCGCCGTTGAATGGTTGCTAGGCAGAGCTTTGGCGAGCGTGTGGAATGTTGGCTGTAATTACCTGAAAGAGCCCGCCCCAAGTCACATTGCGGCCGTCACAATGGCATAATGGCCTGTTGACTGATGAGTCCTTTCCGATGCATTCTTGTAACTAAGGTATCAGTTTCCCTGGTGATGACCGTCGACTCTTTCGTTGGTAATTAGAATCCAGTTATTTGAACATGTTTTCCTTCCGGGGAGGTTGCAACTTGACAAAGCAGGCTACTTATTGCACGTTCAGATTATAAGATGACAAATGAAATAAGTTAATGTTTCTGCCATTGCTGTAGTTTGTTTTCCGGGAAAGAGGATGTTCTTCCAGCAAAACGGTGCTAAGTGCTCCGCACAACATTGCCATTTATTTTGCAAACGTTTAAAGAAGCTGGTAACTCTATCATTTTATTCTCGTGTATGTTTAGCAATTAAATGTTTGTAAACTAGTAACAGTAACGCTTTTAGAAAAGTGTTTGATGGCTAAACAGTTTTTTTGTGATGGGGTTCCTGTCAAGTTTAAACTTACAATCAGTCTTTTTTTTATAGGACTACATGTATACTTTTTTTTTAATATTTCTTAAATTCTATGATACGCAGCACTTCTCACGAGGTGAGTAAAAGAGAGCACCCCAGTAGACAGACGGTGGCGTACTCACCCCGGTCCAAGTTGGGCACACTTCTCCCGGCATTCCCTGACATCAAGGACCTTCAGTTGCCTAGCAACATTTCAGAGGGGAAGGTGATACCTTTTAGTTCTTCCGTAGAGCATCAAGGCTGTTGAAAGGAGAAGTGTACTGCCATTGTGTTACAGTCTGTTTTTACACTGAAAAAGTCTGGTGCTTAGTTGACACCTGCGGTATCCATTCACCGTAGACTACATTTCATAGTACCGGTAATCGATTCAGCTTCCTCTTACTTCCATGTCATATCCTCCGTAGCTTCCACAGGAGAACCTGCCTAATCAATGTTTTGAATGGTTAAATGGTGGGCCGCCAGTTTTGTACTTAAACCGATGTTGTTTTAAATTACTGCGAACCAGGTATCAACATTTCTCATGATGTACCGCACCCACTGCCAGCGAATTCTGGACACGGTAATCCGGGCCAGCTTTGATGAGGTCGAAACCTACCTCCTCCATTTCTGGCAAGGGATGCCGCCCCATATGCTCGGGGTGTTAGACTCCACTACAGTCGCCGATATCGTCGGGCTGTGCGACTCTATTTTGTACAAGGTTAATGTCATGCGCTGGATAGAAAAGTTCGCGGACTAAAACTGACAATACTATAGTGATAAAACAAGACCATGTGTCAAATTGCTCATGTTTCAATACAACTACATGTGATGCAATGTGGTTTGCAAAAAAACACTGTATACGTAGAACAAATTATTTGAAAAGAAACAAATTTTATAATTAGGCGGCAATATTCCAACTATTAAGCCTGGAATCTCTTTAAATGGTTCCATGGACTTTACGAATAAGTAACAAAATTAAAATGCCTGTTATCGGACATTTTGGGAAGGAGAGTTTTGCTTGAGCTTGATGGTGTATTCAACTCAAATAAACAGCAAGGCATGTACTAAAAGTGTATTAAAACGCATTGGCATGTAAATGATGGCAGTTCAAATCAGCGAATTGATGTGGCGTAATACGCCCTCTGTCGTTCCTTCTAGGCCATTGCAGGAGTTCTCATGCCGTCTGTTACGCAGACCATCCCAGACAGCCTGACCCAAGTCATCGGGACATTCGCCCGCAAATTGGAAGACTGGCTACACAACGCGCTGGATCAGCTACCAGAGTCCCTCCGCAACAGCAAATTCACAAGTAAAAGGGTTATCTTGCCGTACCCGCCGGTACTTGAACTCCTGAGGCCCCAGATTAGGCCAGGAAAACCGAAAGTTGTACCCAAGTCCAAATCAACAGGTCCTCCATGCTCAGATTGAGTTATAAGTCAAAGACTCCGTTGCTATACACAAAGTCCATAGGCAAACGCTGTTAGACCCATTTTCCAAATGTATAGCACTTCCTCTCTACTCCCTACCCTGTTTTGTTTCTGGTCAGTTTAGATGGTTACGCAGACATTTCAGTTTTGTGTTAACGTATAGTATCACTGAACCTTCAGGACTTTCCGGTACAGCTCTTCCGTTCGACGAGCCACTCCGCTTACAAGTGGACTTTTTCTCCTTCTGGAGTAAACCTGCTTGGCTAGAGCCCGGAGAGAATTAGCCCAGTGCTACTTACCAAAAACAATAGGGTGTCTGCATTTCAGCGATGGGTTTCCCGGGACTTTTTTTTTTTTTTTACTTTTTCCCATTGCAACTACCTTGCGCTTAGTTTTTTTTTTATAGAGCTAAGACTGGTCAAGTACCGTCGGACACTGACAAGAAGAGCACTGTTGACACAAAGTTATGTTTATTACAAGGACAATAATTGGTCTTTGCTTTTATTTGCTTTCTGTTGCTGGTAATAAGAGGTATCTGTTATAACACTGCAAATTAATTTGTAAAGTGTCACACTGTTTCTTTTCATCGAAGCGCACTCCAAACCATTCCACAGACCAGCCTTAATCCTATCCACGAAGGTAGTTATAAATCACTGGAAAAGACTGCAAAAATGAAGTTTCAAGAGAACATTGTTGTTTGCGTAATCCTCTCCAGTGGCAAGGTATTTCTCCCGGCTTATCCAGCGCCAGGCATCTCTGAACCACCTTTGCCAGGCCTCCAAGGGCACGATCCAGACTTGTGACGTCGCCTCTCAAATGGCTGATGATTGGTCCCTGCTAGACTTACGGCCGATACAAAGGCAGACGCTCTATGCCGTTCAAGAAATGGGGCCTGAACCTCCGCTGGCCGAACGTTAGTTGACTCGACAAAATACCTCCCACTTGATGCGCTTTCAGAAAATGTTGTAGTACGATACTAGAAAAAATGAGGTGCTTTAAAAATCCCATCACTTTCCTGTTCCATGTCTCTGACGAGAGGCCGGCAGCTTGGAGACGTTTGGTATCCATCCAGACCATCCTTTAACTTTACAGCATGCTTATTTTCTGTAGAACACCTGCTGAACCGTACACTGGGTCCTATGTTCCTTAATTTGAATGTAGCTACATTTTGTGTTTTAATGGAGTACCTGTTTTTTATCATGCGTTGACATTGTGGGTACATTCCAATGCCTGGATTTCCACAGGACCCCCTTGGCCAATGTTTGTCCCTTACAAAATGGCCAGTTGATGTCGAGAAATAATAAACAATGAAAACATTTTGAATCTCCTGCTACAAACCTAGAATTGTCCACATAACGAACGATATTGACAAGTGTGTTTGCGTTACTAATGCCTGGAAGAACGTTTCTCGTTTCTTCACAGTTTGTGTCGAATTTGGCTGCCTTCTCGACGAGCAATCCTCTCTCGATACCTACACCAACTGGCTGGATACTCTTCTCCTGAAATGTGTTGAGAAGGTGAGACATCGAGAAGAAAGCTTTCTGTAAGACTTATGGTGACGTGGGCATGTTGAAGTAGTGTTAGTGTGGAAATAACCACCAGAGTGAGTACAGTTACGGTAGTGGCTTCAAACATGACAGGCTATTTTACCAAGTATCAGCAGACTGTCGGCGCCAAGTTAACCACACATTATGAAAGCGGTCTCCCGATCCTACACCTGAGAAAATCCAGACACCGTGCGGAATACTGACCTAGCTCTATCCTGGGTGCTCTGGGCACCATGGGTGCTTTGGGCACCATGAAGTGTATACAACAGGATCTACTTCATAAAGACTTCCTTTAAATTTGACCTATGCTGAATCTCATAATGTCTTCCATGCTGTAATGATGTTACGGTAGACCTATTTAACTTCAAGAACATCGCAAGAGACCCATATAGGGATTTCTCGCGATGTTCGCGTACCTTTAGAGTCGTCCACATATGGTGGACCGTACATCAGATGTTCCGTAGATGGAGAGTAAAGGATATCAACTGAGAGAATACCCCCTCGACAATTCACGACCAATTCACGGTCTTTTCCCAATTAATCTCCACGCAGCAACCACAAGGTCAAGGGTCAAGCAGTGTATGTCAAAGGGCAAGGCGGTTCATGCTCATCTGGTCCTGCTTCAGTACAAAGGTCATGAGAGATATGACGCTTCACAGCTCCCCGAGTTTTGGTGAGACATGATAGCCAATAGAGTACCGAAGTGTGATGTCACTGTGAACCAGAAAGTGTAGTGCAAACGAATGGGGTACGTGTGCGTGTTGGTTCACGCGCTGGTTCTCGCTCTCATGCCTTTTACACACACACTTGTACGCGTGACGTAGACACTTCGGTACTCTATATACCATCTGAAATTATCTGAGGTCAGATATGGTCACTCACACGGCCAAGCACACACAGAAAGCCAGGGCAGTGAGCGATGTTTGCTGAGGATAAAGAAAGAGGAAAACACAAAGATAAACATACAGACAAACTTGAAACTGGAATACAAGAATTAAAGTTAAAAGTGCAACACAAAGAAAGACAAACAAAAAACGTCGCAACACCAAAATAACAGGTTGAATATCGTGTTTGAGGCTCGAGCTGTGAGATAACTCGGCCATTGCGCTGTTATCATCTTTTGCTCAAAAGCGACTATCCGGTTCGTAAGTGACTTCGTCACAAGACGCGTCACAATTTACAGGCTCCCATTGGACGACCGCTGAAGTTGCGCGTTAACTTCCGGTTCCAGGGTTCCAGTAAACGACGATCAATACATGTAACTCTATGAGCAGTTCATGTGCGGTGGGCGTGGTTTAAACTGAAGTGACGTCACACTTACGAACCGGATATTGATTGAGGTAAGAGTCGACAACTGCGAAAGTATCCGAGTACAAAACAAGTGGCAAGCCCTACAACAAACGGTTATATTGAAGTCAATGGACCTGCTTGTTTCACATGGATCCGGATCGCAATCAGTGATCTTCTTTGGTTCACTGACCCCAGAGTTCGCCTCATGGATCGAGCGAACCAGTTTTGGGATCAATGATTGTGATCAGGATCCGTGTGAAACAAACAGGCCCTAACTGTTGTGCACGTACAGGTTCTTTTCATCTTCTCCACATGACGCTGGACGAGTACATTCACTATAAGATGGAGCTGATCCACACGCAGGAGCGGGCGGACAGCCTGCTGCGCCGGCTTAAAGGAGAAACGGAGGAAGGTGGGTTGAGAGTCCTCCGACTGTAGCTGTGTACGAACATAATTCGTAGAAAGATTTATGTGACTGTTCTCTCAGCGAAAAATTAAGCTCATGTTTATTTTCTTCATATTTTTTTTCCAAGCGTTAGAAAGCGATGAGATTTTATCTTTGAGACCAGAGAGGAGACTGGCGACAAAGAACTCTATCCAAACACCGTATCAGCGTCAGTATAGTGTCGAAACCTGTCAATCGCCTGGTGAGTCATCTCTAAGATGAGTGCATCCTTAACACCTGCAACCCGGAAGTAGAGGCCAATGAGGGCAAACATGTCATTCCAAACTAGTAGTACGCTCTCATCAGAATCATACTTCTTCCTAAAGAGATATATCCACGTGGTATTACCGCCAGCCCTCTCTTTAGTTTATCTCCACCATGTAAAGCTTCAGGTCTTATCCCTGCGATTCTACTCGTGACCATTGTTAGTCTAATTCTATAAAGGCGTCATGGAGACGCAACTTTTCTCTTACGAACACAATCTGTAGAAAAATTTATGTGACAGTGTTCTCTCAGCTTGGTCTCCATTTGGCGTAACTTCACAGATGCCAGCAGCCTGTCATCCAACTGCGACTTCACGACGTGCTCGGGCCACCCTGGAATAAACTCAAGCTACACGGCATGCCTGAATTCACATAGTCCATCCCACGTGTCTTCCATGCAGGCGTCACAGCAGGGGTCACATCTGTTGAGTCTCGGCGAGTTTGGCGACTACACCCCTCTTACGCTTTATAGCTCAGAGTAAGTGTTACCGGCGATGTTCCCGTCCATAGTGGTCCACGTGTTGCCTCTCCTGTGCCACTCCTGTTTGTTTGATGGGCCTATCAAATATTGCTTTCAAAAATCACTTTTAGCATGAGTTATCGTAACCCTTCACGCATGAATTTCTGAATGCAATTTGTAAAATCCAAACTAATCCTCCCAAGAACACCGTCCCAGTCCTCACGTTCACTCATTATTCTTCCCTGCAGTCGACCTCCAAGTCTTTGCAGATTCCTTCACGAGTCGCCCAGTCTTAAGCCACGTCAGAATCTAATGTTAATATAAACTAGGACTAAGGCATTCCTTTGTCGTACACCGTCACTTACACTTGTCTTGTGAAAGGACTTGGGCTGGACTCCACTTGATACTGTCAAACCACAGCATTGCAGCCATAAGTCTGGCAGATGTCCACTTTATCGTCCTTCTTCCTTTGAGGTAGGTGTATAACCTGTTTACTGCCTTCCTGTTTGCAGAAATAGTGCTTTCTCGCCTGTTACAAGTACTGACAGTCCGAATTCTGAGATTCCGTATCAAAGCAACGCAGCATTTCTTCAAGACACTCCGCACAATCACCAGTTTTTTGAGAGATCAGCCTTCGCGTCCAGTTACTACCAAGACAGTGGAGTCTACAGGAACGACGCCCAAAGAAACCTGTGCCGTGACTGTGACCCCACGCTGACGTCGAGGGCAAAATTTCAAGACCAGGCACAGCCTGCGGGAGCCAGATGCAGGCAACTGTATCTGGCTCCAGCTCTGCAGAAGGATGCAGCCAGCTGCGTTTTGGAGGGTCAACAACCGGTGTCAGACTTCCCCTATCATTACAACGACCGGGAGTTCCACCATTTTGGAAGCTTCGATCGCTTTCAGGAGCCACTGCACACGCCACATCATGCAAATGAAAACAGACACTATGGTTCATCATTATGCAGTTGAGACTGCATGTCATTATAAAAACACAGCATGGTTTGAGGGGAAGAAGTGGGAATTACTGGTCCCCTTCGCGTCTGGAGGTAGTCAAGCTGACCTGCACCGTTACTTTACTTGTACCCATAGACGCCATTGTTGTTTCTCAGCTGTTAAAATTCCATGTAATGATAGTGAAGTGCAGATGTGCATAGAAATAGGGCTTCAATAGTCTGGTGCTGACTTACGTTTTGGGTCTTTACTGTATATTCATTAGGATACAACTCCAGACTGGTTCTGTAAAGATTACATGACACAGACTACATATTTACGCGGCGGGTTCCAAAGGTTTTTTTTTATGCTAAAGAAAAAACTCCCGCACGACAACCAGGTGGATACTCACCGCTATGACGTCACCTGGTCGCGTATCATTTCAACTTCCCAGACGCGAGGTGGAATCGGCCAATGACGCGCTCCGAATTGCTCATGAATATTTATGAGGTGTAGTAAAATAATTTAACGAGAAGCAACGCACTGATTATTGCCGGGAAAACACGGTCTCTGCTGACTGGAATGTATACTTATTTTAGCAATGTCTTTTGCATAGTATCTCATTAAATTTAACCTAGATTAGTTGAGCTCCTCATGTCAGGACATTGGTCAGGAGATGTCTGTGTTCTCGGAAACCTCAAGTTTAGAGCCACGCCAGAGGGCAATTATTTTATGGTCAGATTGCTAAAACGTCCAAGAGTAGGTCTATATCAATGGTGAAAAACATATGACACTGATCAGTCCATGTATTAAATCTCCTGATCGATTTCACATGCTGTAATTTTTAAACTTTAAATTTGGAATGAAATAAATTTTTATACTTTAGAAAACTTTCGGACAGCCTTTCCTATCCCTAGTGAAGACATTATAGATGAATCTGACTTCTGCCACCAGAAGGCATTTCACAAAGACAGCCACGGCTGACAGAGTCAGAAAATGATGACAAATGTCACTTCTCTATTTAGACATGTATTCTCAATTTTGGTGTATGCAATCTGAATTCTGAATGTCGTCTGCACAAATAAAGATACGCCATTTAGAAACATAAATGGGAATTTGTTTGAAATTTACAGACGGTTCTTACAGAACTCGCGCGAGGCAATGCTCCATACCTGCCGCTTATCAAGACTTAGTGATTAAACCAAATGCCCCTGAGCCGTTTCAGTGGACTATACAGTTATATTGTTTTGGCCGACAAACAATGCTCAGTAGCCAGCTGCTTGATCCACAGTCAAAGGCCTTCACAAAATAACTTGCCTCAGTCTGAGCTATCCCCAAATTTGGAGCCAATTTTGGACCCAGTGGGGCTAGACAAACTTGACTCCCGGTCGCCGCTCCAAACTCCTGTTGGACGTGGGCCTGCACACCCATGGATCTCAGCTAGAACACCGTCTTAAAAACCAGACAGGTTACACAATGTTCATTTTTGTTCACAAATTTCTGTTTCGTTTGTCGTGGAGTTTCAAATAGCACGCCACATCGGTGTGCATATCGAGAGTTCTTTTAATCATGGTATACATATACACCTCTGGAACCGCGACCACTTACCTCGATGTGTTACAATCTAGGCTTCGGTGCTTTCTGAAAAAGTCATTCATCATCCCTTTCCTGACCATCCAATAACACAAAAAATCGCATGCAGGAAGCTAGAAAGGTCACAGTACTTGGCTCGTACTACCTTTCACACGACGCATCATAATGTTGAGACCAACGAAAAGTAGTCATACATCAGTGCGCCCTCAATCGGCAGGTTTTATTGACACGTGATTGCGCATGGGCCGGCGGCCGTAAGGGTTTTTTTGGGGGGGGGGGTATTTTCTTCTTCTCTCTCTCCAAGTACACAAGTGTCTAGGGATACAATATACACATTCCGATGGGAAATGGTTCTTGAGAGGAGACTAGTCTTCATACCTCCTGGAAGCATTCCCTAACGAATGTCGGGCTTTACTCCCCTTTGAACAATACATCCCCCAGACACATTGTCGGATTTACCCAGTGAATGCGGGAATCGAATCGAAAAATCGCGGCCCGTACCGAGGACGAGCAATGTGCAAACTTTACGTGTAATGGACTCCGAGCTGGACCAAGAGAGGGCAATCTTCCAAGCATCGGAGGCTCCTTTGGTAGCAAAACACAAGCGTTGCAGTCGCATATCTTTACAAACAAAACGAACACTCCACACCGTACCAACACGGCTCTTTTCAACCGATAGGGGTGCTCTTTTTGCTTATCCGTGTTTATGATTTCAGACGGGGTGAATCTGCATGTATACCCACCACAAATTCTTCCAAAAAGAGCTAGCTGCTTCTACGGCTGGTTGGTCCCCCTTACCACGCATATGGCTGCATCTAGGCGCAGCATCAGTCTCACCCCAAGAGGTCTGCAACCCAGTGGCGTGCAACAGAGCACTAGAGATCTTTACAGTCAAACGGGTGATCGGTGGATCAGGGGGGTGGGTGGAAAGAATCTCTCGAGAGGGTCAGCCCACGGAGAAAGGACACATCCTTTCTCCATGGTCAGCCGAAGGTCAGGCGTTGCCGACCTCAATGCGTGAATTGGGACTGAAAGGCCGATCGCGAGTACGACGACCTGAATCTGTGTTTCAGAGCATAGGCGAAATGCAGTCAAAGTAACACCTCCGCGTCACTTGACGAGACGAGATCCTCGTCCTCTTCGCAGCCAACAAAGAACAAGCTCTCGCATATCTCAGGCAGTTACCAGAGCTCCTGCGTCACACCGTTTGCTGGATTCATTCAAACTGAATAAGCCAGTTCGTTCGGTGTTTCCAAACTAAGAGGTCCTTGGGGAACAAAGCACACATGCGAGTCCCTGTATATAGGAGTTAGATCCACACTGATAGGGCAAACCTCGCAAACGCGTCCGAAAGACCTCGGAACCGCTTGGGCATGCGCTGTTGGAATACCGACTTCGCTCAGTTCTTAACACAGGCGTCCAAGCTCCTACGCGAGGTGTGCTTCAGTGCTCTGCAGAAACGGGGCAGAGTGACATGACAGAAAAAGCAGGTCTCAGCAGAGCTACGTTGCTAATACGTTTCGAGTACATAAAACGGTACCGGTGAGATCTTGTACTTTTTGAGGATATAGGAAGGTTCTTAAATTTCCCAAAATATTAATTCAAGCCAGCAGGGTTGAAAGTCGGATTCTAGCCTTTGTACAACTTCACGACAATAAATCGGACAGACTTAAGACACAATTTCTCAGTGGCTGATGGGAGTTTCATGTATGACAATTTATTCACCAATGGTTTAATATTTTTTAAAAGCAAGCTTTTCAAGCAACCAATTCCATTATTGCATAGAGTATTCGTGTTGACGAGTGTCTCGCCTGACTACATCAGCCATAGAGGCTATCTTTACCCATTAAGTCTAATCTGATAAACCATGTTGGACGCAATCAGTTGATCTTTGCGCCATTAGTTGATCTTATTGCAGGATACCATATGTCAATTCTGCCATGAGCCATTTGCTTTTCCTGTCTTACTCAAGGACGTGGAAGATAACTTCACAAACGAAGCTAAGTTGGATATTTCGTACAGAATCGACAAATCAGGCAGGTTGACCGGGCGAGCACGAAGATCGACCCATTGCGCCCAGCGTCTTCGTTAACATTTGTGAGTTGGGGAAAAAAAACAGAGAGGTTGGTGCTGCAGTAACGAAGTAACAAGAGAATTCGAAGCCATGCGAACACACGTTCTTGTCTCATGTAACAATGGACCTTTTCCATGAAATAAAATTATGCACATAAGGCACGTGCATGCGCATTACTACCACTGGTTGGCAAGGTTGCTTAAATCTATAACAATACAAATCTCCATGCACGCGTCACTATCGCCGTTTCTGTACTGGCACAGTTTGACAAGAGTGCAAACTTCAGACAAGGAACTGTTACTTTCTAACCTCAGGACACTCAAAACTTCACTTAGTTTCGCGAAAAGCGTGCTGAAGTATCGGACAATGGTTGTAATACGGTTTTGATTGACATTCAACGCGCCAGGTTATGGTTACCAGCAGCTCGCCTACACTGCCGACAGTGTTGACGGCCGCGCTTGCCAAACAGTGGTAGAAACGCCCATGTGCCTGTCTAATTTGCATACATCATGGGAAAGGTCCATTCTGACCAATGCTACCCTTTAAAATCTTGAAAATGTTAAGTACATGCAGGGACACAAAGAGTATCCACTAAACAATAAATACTGCCATAAACTACAGGTACACAGATCGTACCATTAAATTACCACCTACCTGCTTGCGCAAAAATTGCTTTTTGTCTTCATGGGGTATGTTTCCAGGGGAGCAAGTTAGGGGATCGTGAGCCCGTGGCAATTGGGATTTATTTTTATCGGACACGCAAGTTTAGTTTGGCTTTCTGTGTGCTAATGGTAAGGATTACATAAATGTACAAGACATCAAAGGGTAACTACAAGTATGTTTACCACGCGAAAAAAATATTGGAAAAAAGTTGAGTAACTCCAGGATACCGTGTGCAAATGTCTGCATACTGAAGTCCTTGAAAACAAAATGTCTCTTTGACGGAGTTTCTTGGTACTAGTAGGCCTATATCATAGCGCACTTCTTTGCTAACTGCTGTCATTGAAAATGGAATCTGTTTCACTGTGATTTTTTTTCAGACTTTCGCAGCAACTTATTGAAATATTGGTTATGGGTGGATTTTGTTTCTAATTTCAGGATGATTGATGTCCATACAGTTATCCTACACTATCTGCTGTCCCTAATTTGGATTTGACAAAAGCTAACACTACATATTAACTAGTGTGTACATGTATGTAGTTACATCCATCCTTTGGATTCGGCCAAAATATCGCTGCGTTACCAGGATTCCCAACTACAGTATATGGTAAAATATATACCAGTTACCAGGATTTCCAACTACGGTATATGGTAAAATATATAGAGGCCTTGTTGACTGCTCTAAAGCACAAATCTGAAAGGTTTTATTATTTTTAAGGGCAATACCTCAGCTGACTGAAATACCACTTTAACTTTTCACCACGACGACGTAGACAAATGTTCTCCAATGTGGAATAAAGGGTTATTTATGGACATGTGCATGATACATTGATGTAATTCATGATCAAATGTCGACAAGTGAATAATTTTTTGGATCAGTGTTAGTGATTCAAGCCCAAGCTCTGACAAAAGCTAGCAGAGAAAAAAACCTTGCTATTCAAGCTTCTCGGAACTAAAACAAAGGATTGACCATGTGTCCACACGTACATATGTACTACACTTTATTACTGAATGTACATGTGCATATGCATGTACAGTTTGTCATGCAACGTGTGACTGACCACATCCTACAGACATACAGATTCACCATTCAACTAAAACTATTGAAAATCTGACAAGCCCTCAGTTGCAACAAATTCACAAGGACACTGTTCTTATAACAGAAAGGAATACATTAGAACCACACACATGGAAGCTCATTGATTTTGAGATAAAAAATGAACTCGACCTGAAATAATTTGTTCTAGGTCTACATGCTGACCGTGCATACATGTACATACTCTACCACACATGTCCAATCAAACTACTGTGCATGTAGTTCTTTAACCACTTCATATCAGAGGACGTACGTGTCTACATACATGTTTTGTTTTTTGCACACGCTCAGACACGTTTGTGGAGGTTGAACATGTGTGGCGCCCTCGCTCAGTCGAGTTCGGGCGGCCTGTGCTTGACACGGGTTTCTTATTCCCGCGTTCGAACTGCGGAAACACAACTCAAGAACACTGTTCTCAGAACAAG